CAGTGGGTTCTGAACCAGCACAGCTCCTCTGGCACAGGGAGGTGATGCAGGAATCACTGCTGACATGTGGGTTGGGGCACCCACTACAGCACACCTCTACCACCCCTGGGGCCACCCCTGGTCTGAAAGACCCCGGGAGTGGTGCAACTCTATGTAACCAGCTCTGTGACCACCCCATACAGGTGTTTGTGGGTCACAGTGGGTGCAGCCACCACAGGGAGGGGTTGTGGCTCCTGCCTCCTACAGAACCCCAGACTGTGGGGGCTTCCCAGCCACCATGGTGGGTGCTCATGGTGCCTGTCCCTGGGCCCTGTTTCCCCCTACAGTGCTGGTGCTAGGACATGGGTACACACACTTCCAGGAGATCCCTCACCACTCTGGTGTTCTCACCAGGGCTGAACACACACTCCTCATGGAAAACCCTGGTGTTGAACCCTCATAGCCCTGCTCAGAGCTGCCAATTCATGTGGTTCTGCAAGGCAGTCCCTGTGGCCCAGAAAGAGGGCACAGTACTCTGTGTTCTCCTCTTGCTGTGCTGAACTGGTATGCAGAGTTCCCTGGCTGCTCCCATTGGTGTCCTGCCAGCCGCTCTGTGATTTGCACCCTGGACCTGGAGACTTTTTTCAGTTTCTTCCTCCAGTTGACTGACTATTGACAGCAGCAGTGGAGGCTGGGATGCCCCCAAATCTTCATTTCTGAAGAGGTGGCCAATCCCCAGCTCTGAGCTGTGGGGATTGAGACGAGGCCATTCCAGGATTGAGGCACCTTATGTGTTCTCTTGCAGGGTGGGCTACCGTCCTCTGAGGCTGTGTGACAGGGAACTGGCAGGAGAAGAGTCGCTTTTAAGATGACACGAACAGACCCACCTGACATTCTGGTGTCCACGGTGTACCAAGACATCAAGGTGGCGGCAGCAGCCCCTGGGGATTCCGTTGTCTGTCAGCCCCTAGCACAATGTGACGCCTCCATGTCCTCCTCCCTGTCCCGCGAGCCGCAGCCCTTCAACAAGCGTCATTGTAGGAGTTTCGACTTCATTGAGTCGCTGGAAGAGCTGGGCACCCCTTCGGCCATGCAGCGCGCCTGTCCGCGCCCCGGCATGCCCGAGCCCACGCCGGGGCCGCCGGGCAGGCAGGCGCCACCGAAGCCAGACCCTTCCAGCGGCAGAGCCCCCGCGCCGCGGAGCGAGCCGAAGCGCCGAGCGCGCTCCAAGAGCGCCCCGCGGGTGAAGTCCACCCTGACCCCGGTGCCCATCACCGTGGCGGCATCACCGCCGCCAGCCCGGCGTGGGCGGGAGGTGCTGCGGGTGGCACGGGAGCCCTCTCACACAGATCCCTCGCCGCGCCGCGAGGCCCCGATGCCGCTGCGGGCGCTGGCCAACGAGGTTCACCCCATCAAGCTGCAGCCGCAGCGGAGCAGCGTCAGCCGCATCTCCCCGCTCTGCCTGGGCAGCAATTGCTACGAGGAAGGGCCGGGGGCGAAGGTGGGCGCCAGCCCCCACGTCAAGTGCCGAGTGGACATCAAGCCGGACGAGGCAGTTCTGGTGCACACGGCGCGGAGCCTGCGGGCAGCTCCGAACCGTGCGGAGCCGCCGCGCTGGCCCCGCACCCCTGGGGCCGCCCGCAGCCTGACCGTGCCGGGGAGCCGGCAGGCGTCCGCGTCCCGCACGCCCACCCCCAGCGACTCCTACAGCGGGGACCCTCCGCTGCTGCCCTACCCCGGTGAGTACTACGAGGCAGACCCCCGGGCACTGGCATACCAGACAGTGCCCGTGCCAGCTTCGCGGGAATTCAGGGAGTACCCCGACAGGGGCTGCATGACCTTTTCGGCCCCCGGCGTCCCAGCCAAGTTCTTCTACGCAGAGGAGTCAGCGCGGTGCCCCAGCCCTGCCATGCCCCTCCGCAGTTCTGGCTATGCCAGCTACCCCTACCCCAGCCGCCACAGCGTGCCCCAGCCCTTCTTCACCGAGGACCCGGCCAAGGCTGCTGCTCACACGATGCCGCCCCGGACGGTGTACGTGGAGGAGGCGCGGGGTTACCCGGTGCAGGAGGCACCTACTCGCACCTTCTATGGGGATGAGCCCCGCTACTACGCCCCGCGTGGGACCCCTGTGAAAACCCTCTACGCCGAGGACGCTCGGACATACCCAGCCCTTGGCTCCTCCCCGCGGCTGCTGTATGCCGAGGACTACGGGAAGTACCGGGAGCGGGAGATGCTGTCGCGCACGTGTCCCCCGCCCCGCAGCGCACAGCCCCTGCACTTCGGGGACTGGTACTGCCCCGAGCGGGCCACGCTGCCCTACCAGAGCCTGCAACTGTCCCGCTTCACCCCGCAGCCGGCCGGGCGTGAGGCCATGTTCTCCTCCTGGCATACCAGCTATGGTGTGACTCCAGCACGGCTGGGCCGGGAGACCCAGCACTACTCCAAATCCTGGGATAACATCCTGGCGCCAGCAGCACGCAGGGAGGAGGCCCTGCAGCGTGGGCGCAGCTATGAGAACCTGCTCGCCCATGAACAGCACCGTGCCTTATCCCCCGAGGAGCGCCGGCAGCCTGTGGTGATCAACTTGTCGAGCTCACCCAAGCGCTACGCGGCCCTGTCCCTCTCCGAGAGTTCCATCCTTGAGCGGGTGCATGCTGACGGCAGCCGTGGGCCCCCAGGCCGCTCCTGGTATGTCACACCGGAGATCACCATCACAGACAACGACATCCGTGCCGAGGGGCTGGGCCGGAGTGAGAGGCGCTCAGCCAGCTGGGACATGCTGGACGCGGGGCGCGAGTGCAGGCCCTACGCTGTGCCCTGTGCCCCACAGCCCGGCACCAGGGAGAGTGGCTCGGGGCGCCAGCGCAGTCTGGAGCAGCTGGATGAACTCATCACCGACCTCGTCATTGACTACAAGCCGGCACCGGGCCACCGCTCCGGGGACAGGGACAGCCTCGCAGAGCAGCTCAAGCAGCTGCTGAGCAGTAGCGCCTCGGGGCCCCCCCGGCGGGGCGAGGGCAGGCGGATCCCTCCCAACTTGCCCGAGGGATCCCGACCCACAAAGGAGCAGCCGGGCCCCAGCTCCCATGCTGGCACCCCACGCCGCCCACTGGCCACCGGCCCCTTCGAAAAGTCACCGGAGAACTGCTCGCCCGACCTGAGCGCTGAGGAGGACGACATGATGATGTGCTCCAATGCCAAGTGCCGGCGCACGGAGACCATGTTCAATGCCTGCCTCTACTTCAAATCATGCCACAGCTGTTACACCTACTACTGCTCCCGGCACTGCCGGCGCGAGGACTGGGACACGCACAAGGCCAGCTGCGTCTACGGGCGGGTGGGCAGCGTCTGCCGCCACGTCCTGCAGTTCTGCCGTGAGAACACCGAGGTGCACAAGGCTTTCTCGCGCATCGCCAAGGTGGGATACCTCTCCCGCGGCCGCGGCGTCCTCTTCCTGGGCTTCCCCAATGCGGGCTCCGCCGAGAACTTTCTCCAGTTTGGGCTGGAGAGCCTGCTGATGTCCCCCACGTACCTGTCCCTGCGGGAGCTGGACAGCTACTCGGACAACCTGGGAGAGTACGCCCAGGAGCTGCGGGAGACAGGCAACCAGTACGACCCCAACGAATGTTTCCTGCTGAATGTAACCGTGGCCGTCACTCAGAAAGTGCCAGAGAGGCCATCACCGAAGATGCAGGTGCCGACAGTCAGGAAATATGCCAAGGTGGCCTTAGCCTCCTCCAGCCCCGAGAAGAAGATCTTGAAGAAGGAGCGGGACATGGAAACGTTGATCCTGACACCACCGCCCGGCACGGCGGACATCGACAAGGAGGGGGAGGAGGGCAGGAAAGCACGGGAGGTCTGCTTCATCAACATCCAGCGGGAGCTGCGCATCCGTGGCGTCTTCCTGCGGCACGAGTTCCCCACTGTCTATGAGCAGCTCTGCGACTTCGTGGAGAGCAACAAGCGCTTCACCCCCACCACTATCTACCCCATTGACAAGAGGACGGGCAAACAGTTCATGTGCATGATTATGGCGGCCTCTGAGCCTCGCACCCTCGACTGGGTGGCCAGCCCCAACCTCCTGGACGACATCATGTGAATGCAGGGTGGGGGGCACCCCCTCTGTAGATACGTGCTGTTCTGTCAGAACCCCCTCGGCTACTACACCAAGGGGAGGGGGCTGCGGGCAGCCGGCAGTGCTGGGGGGACTGGGGGATGACGGGAGCACAGCCCGAAGCTTGCCCTGGCACCCAGAGCCTGGCGACGCCTGCAGAGCCCTCTCGGGTGAGCAGTGCTTGGCCAGAGCAGGGGCGCCCCACAGCCCCCAACCCCTGCCCACCGGGCTGCCACACACCCAGAGCCCCTCGGGCCTGCCCCGGGGCCCCCTCAGCACCGAGGGTCCCACAGCGGCCGTACCCAGCACCTGGGACTGGGCTGCACCAGGAGCGCGTCCCGCCGTGTCTGTGCGGCCTGTGCGTGTTCCTGCGGCAGCGTCAGGGGCTGGGGGCCCGGGGACCCCGCGCAGGCTCTGGGCACAGAGCGGGGCAGGGCTGGGGGGCCCTGGGCGCCGCTGGGGGGAGGGGAGCGGCGGGGGCGGGCGGGGGTGTCTGGCCGGGGTCGGGGTAATCGCCAGTGAAGACGGACCGTGGCGGGTACCAAGGAAGGGGAGGCAGAGCCGGAGTCGTGGCCAAGGCCCGTCACCCGGGACGCCCGCGCCGCCCTGCCCGGCCCCGATCCCCGCTGTCGATCTCACCGCCGGCACCGGCACAGTCTCGGGCACCGGCAGCTCCACCCCAGAGCCGCTGCCCGCCGGGACCTCGCGCCGGCTGTGGGCGCGGCCTGGCTCCGCGAGCGCCGGTTGGGCCCGGGCGGAGCGGCGGGAGCACGGGCAGGGCCGGGCGCCGGTTGGGCCCGGGCGGAGCGGCGAGAGCACGGGCGGGGCCGGGCGCTGGTTGGGCACGGGCGGAGGGGCGGGAGCACGGGCGGAGGGGCGGGAGCACGGGCGGGGCCGCGCGGCAGCGATGGCGGGCGCGGCGCTGTCGCGGGTGCCGGCCGTGCAGATCGATGGCGACGGTGTCTTCAAGTACGTGCTGCTGCGGGTGCGCGGGCCCGGCGCGCCCGCCAAGGACGTCGTGCGAGGCCACGCCTGGGCCGAGTACCACGGTGAGGGGCGTCGGGAGTGCGGGGCGGGGCTCCGGCGCGGGGTGCCGAGGGAAGCGGCTGCGGGCCCCGGGGACGGGCGGGGGCTTGGCGGGCGCCTGGCCCGTCACGGGGCGACGGCTGAGGCGAGGGGTCTCCGCGCCGCCCCCGCTCCCTCCCTGCAGCCGACTTGCTGGAGCGGACGGCGGAGGAGCTGGCGCGGCACGGCCTGAGCTGTGAGTGCCTTGGCGGCGGCCGCCTGTCCCACCGGCCCGAGGAGAGGAAGATCCACGTCTACGGGTACTCAGTGGTAAGCGGGAGCGGGGGGGACCCACGCACGGACGCGGCATCTCTCTTCGCACTGTCGTTCCACTGGCGGCGGCCGAGTTGGCATCGCATCCCCTCGGGGGTGGAAGGGTGAGCGGGGCGGCGCTCCCGGGGTTCCTGCCGTTCCCCCGAGTGCCCCGGGGCGGGGAGACTGCGCAGAGCCCTTGCAGGAGAGCAGTGCTTGGCCAAAGCAGGGTCACCCCGTGAACCCCCCGGCACCTGCCTGTGGGGCTGCCACACACCCAAAGTCTCCGGAGGTCCCGTGGGGTCCCCACAGTGGCTGTACGCAGTGCTGGGTGCTGCCAGGGGGAATTGGGCTGCACAAGAACCCTGTCTCTGCTCTGTGTGTCCTGCGGGCGTTCCTGCAGGAGTGTCAGGTGCTGTAGGGGCCTTGTAAGGGTGACTGGAGGCACCCTTGGGACATCACTGTCACGGTGTGTCCCTGGACGCTGGCCCCAGCCCAGGGCTCTGCTGCAGCACCAGCTGTGCTGGGTGCTGACTGCAGAGTCCAGCTGGGATCAGGGCAGGGTGGTGGTCCCTGGGCCACAGTGCACACAGTTTTCCCATCTTCAGAGTGACACTGTCCTCTTGCCTTGGTGCTACACCAGCCTCAGCTGGAGTCAGGAAGGGCTGGCACAGGCTCTGTGGCGTCTCTGCTGCTGGGGTCTGCCAGAGCTGCCCTGGGGATTTGCCAGGCTTCTCTGCAAGTTACCACCAGCTCTCCTTGGGAACCCTCTTTTCCTGTGCAGGGCTTTGGACGAGCTGACCACGCCGTGACCACAGAGAAGCTGAAGGCCGAATATCCCGACTATGAGATCACCTGGGCAGATGAAGGGTACTGACTCCTGTGTCTGTGGTGGCAGCCCAGGACTGGCACAGCTGCATGCAGCACCGGGGTGGTGGCAGCAGGCTCGCCGTGCTCCAGGCTCTCCTGATTTTCCTCTGTGTTGAACTCGCCCGTTCTCCGCTAATACTGGACTGTCCCCGTGTCAGGTGCTCCCACCTCCCTGGCATGGCAAAGCTGGTGAAGCCAGTGGTTGCCCTACCCCAGCCTCCTGGTGCCAGGGGCTCATCCACGTGTATGTGTGAGAATTAAAGTCGTTGGAGGAGCACAGCTGCTCTGGTGTCCGTGCTCATGGTTTGGCTGCTCCTTCCCAGCTCTGGGTTGTGCCTGTTGACAGTGGAAGGGACCCCCCCAGGTTAACCAGCCCTTGAGGGGGAGCTGGCATGGGAGCAGGCAGAGTCTGGGCTGGGAAAAGCAGGAAGTGTATCAGGATTTGCTTTGCAAAAGAGGAGAGAGGAAAGCAATGGTCAAGCCTGGGAGAGGGAAAGGCAGGATGGACCTGAGGGAAAGACCAGCCCCATCTCCTGCAGGGAGGGAACTGAGCTACCTGGGAGCATGATTGGGAAGAACATGCCCATTCCCGTTCTGGCAGGTGGTCACGTCTTGAGGAAGAGCATCCTCCCTGACTTCGTCCCTCCAGCCACCCAGGACCAGCTTGGAATTTCCCAGGGATTCTCCCTGCTTGTGCTTCCAAATGAGGAGCAGTAGAGGGAGACTGGGAAAAGCTGCTGGAGACTTCAGTGGCTGGATAGCCCCAGGGAGATGTGCAGGCTGGGTTGGTTCAGTTGCTGTCCCACGTGAGGCTGGGGCTGGAGGACCCTCCCAGCCCCATTTCATTGTCGGACTCTGACCCTGCATGCTCCCTGCTGCTGCCTCTGCCTCATGCCTTCAGGTATGTGGCCTCCTTCCTCTGTGTCCAGAGCCATGCAGGGTCAGCTCAACCTGCAGAAGCTCAGCCTGTGCCCAAACTCCAAAGGAAGTTTGGGCATCCAGTGGGGGGATGAGTTTCACAGGCAAAAACATGGCTGTGCCTCATTCTACATTCTGTAAGGTGTGACTCTCCCCTGTGCTGAGGAGAATGTAACCCTCAAGTCACACAGAGTCAGCTGCAAACCTGCAAATCACTGGATTTTGGAGCTTGGAGGCACCCTCTGGGGTGTCCTGTCCATCCACTGGCCTAGCAGAGCCAGCTTCAGTGGGTCCATCGTGGTAGGATTGCTGAGATATGCTGTGCAGGCTCAGGAGTTGGACTCAATAGTCCTTGTGTGTCTCTTCCAACACAGGGAGTTCCATGATTCTGTTCTAGAATTAGGCTGCTGGAAGCTATGACTGGGTGGAGTTGAGAATCTCCACGACTTGAACCTCCCAGCAGTTTGGGCGTCTGCTCTGGTTTTGATAGCCCTCACAGGAGAAAAAAGTTTTTCTTTTAAGTGGCATTTGCTGTTCTTGCTTTGTTCTTGTCTCAGTCCTTACTGGGACACTCCCTGCTTGAAGGGTTGGCTCCCTGCACCCTCCTGCCAGGGCTTAGCTGAGTGACATCCCCCTACACCTTCTCCAAGCTGGGCACATCCAGCTCAGCCTCTCCTCGTGGGAGGTGCAGTCCCCTCATCATCATCAGGGAATATCCTTCTGTGGAGATACTCAAAAACCATCTGGACACATCCTCCAGGGAACCCTTGTGGAGCAGAGGGGTGGGATGGGGTGACCTCCTGTTGTGCCTTCAATTATGTTACTATCCTATGGTCATCATCACTCAATCTGCTCCAGTATGCCCACATCTCATACTGAGAGCACCAGCATCCCCAGTGTGAAGGGGAGGGGTCACATCTGTGAGAGAGGCTCTGCCCATGGCACCCAGGAGGCCAGTGGCTACTTTGCCAATGGCCAGCTTGGTACTGCCAGGTTCCTGGCCAGGGCTCCTGCTCTCCAGCATGCCTGGACTGGGGGACGTGGGGCTATTGGTCCTCACTGGGCCTGGCTGGCACTGGGAGAAAGAGCTGAGCCTGTGTTTTACTGCCCCTGTTGCAATCCCACTGCAATCTGCCTTCCAAGGCCGTTGGCTCGGTGGGAGGATCTGCTCAACAGGGCCCTTCTCAGGGGATGAAGGCTGTGGCAGCAGAGGGGAGAGGGTTCCTGTGGAGTAGCAGCCCCTTTTTCCCCCGCCCAGGTAAGGAAACCAGTGGGGTCAATAGTTGCCATCACCAGGCAACACTAGTGGTGATCTGTGAGGCTCTGGCTGCCAAGCTGTGCTTCTTCCAGGCCCATCAGCCCTTGCTGGGGCTCTGCCAGGAATGTTTTGCCCTAGGAATGATCTGTTTGTGGCCCTGCATCTGTGCCCCCTTGCCCCATGGCGTTCATGAGCTGGGTGCCGAGATGCTCCTGCCAGCCAGAGTGGAGCAGGCCGGGTGAAGGCTGGCTCCTCCTGATGATATTTTGGGATCCCCAGGCTGCAGGGGGACCTCAGAGCCCCTTTCAGTGCCTAAAGGGCTCCAGGAGAGCCTGGAGAGGGACTTTGGACAAGAGCTTGGTGTGACAAGACAAGATGGAATGACTTCCCGCTGCCAGAGGGCAGGGTAAAATGGAATATTGGAGATACAGCTGACTCCTAGCTCAGCTCTTCTCTCTGACCAGTGCAGCCCTCTGAAAACCCTTCATTCAAAGTCTTTCCCATTCTCCTTATGCACCAGGACTGGCAGAACCCCCATATCCCTGGCAGAAGTGCCAGATTCCCTCACAGGCTGGCAGCATCCCTGGCTCGGCAGGAAGTGTCCTCGTCCCTCACTGAGCTGTGCGCCATCCCAGTCAGTGTCACCCACCGTCTTGTCCTGCATGGAGGTTCAGCGGGGAAAAGCCGCAGGTCTCCATGGGGCACCTGGCTCCAGCTCGCCGCAGGGCTGCTGGCGGTGCTGCAGGGTCGCGCTGCGCTGTCCCACTCGGCACAGCCATAAACCCGCTGCCTGGCCAGGGAGCCGATAACAGCGGGGCTGAAGTCCAACGCAGGCAGCTCCTGGGGGACACATTCCAGCCCGGGGCTCACAGTGCGGCCTCTTGCAGCTCCGTTTTTACCGTCGCGGTGAGCGGGATGGCTGAAGGCGGGCAGGCGATGCTGGCCCTCCTGGTGCTGCTGGGTGAGTGCGGCTCACGCGGGCGGGGTTGTGTCGCTGGAAGGAAGGGGCCTCCGACTGGCTGCTCCACTCTGGTCAGCCACAGCAGTTTGCTCCAGCACTGGGCCAGCCCGCTGGGCTCTGCGGGTGGACTCAGCCAGGGGTTCCCAGGGTGAGTGGGTGCCGGAGCCCCCAGCAGCGGGGCTGAGCATCACCAGTGGCTTTGTTCATCATGGGACAGAGAACGTCCAGATATTCCTGTTTCTTCCAAAAAGGGGGCTGGTATCGAAGCACGGGTGTTGTACGGCAGAGTCAGTGCCTCAGTGCCCCGGCAGGCTCTGGCACCCCGAGCCTTACGGTGGGAGTGGCGGTGTAAGAGATGTGGAGTGCTGGGACAGTGACTGGGGTCGGAGGAGGGGGAAGTCGTCCAGGGGAAGATGCCACTGAGAGCTCAGTACCTGCCCCAGCAGGGTCCCAAACCGAGGTGCCCAGGCAAATGGCACCTGCAGGTCACGCGTGCCTGCTTCACCTTCACCTGCTGTGGGCACCATGCCTAGTTCCCTGCGGGGTTTTCAGCCCCATTGTCTCTCTCGTAGCCAGAACCGTCCTCCCCAGTGGATCCGTGGTTGTCAACAGCTGCGGCAGCATGGCTGAGCAGCTCTGCAACTTTGTCTGTGACTGCAGCGACTGCTCAGATGAGAACCAGTGTGGTGGGTGCTCAGACTCCCCAGGCCCCCAGACCCACCCTCAGGCCGTGCTCCTGGGGTGAGAGCAAGCTAGTTAGTGGGGGGTGTTGCGGGTACAGGTCCCTGGGGTGGTGCTGGTGCCCAGGATGAATGCAGGGTCCCCCAGGATTGGTACAGGACCCCGGGGTGGGTGCAGATCCACGGGGTAGGGGCAGGTCCCTTGTGCAGGTGTCCAGGGTGAACACAGGTCACCTGGGTTCAGGTGAGTCTGCCAGGTGGGTGCAGGACCCCAGGCTGTGTGCAAGGTCCTCTGAGTAGGTGCAGCTCCCTGGGATGGGTGCAGTTCTCTGGGGTAGGCACAGGTCCCCAGGGTGGCCCCAAACCTGCCTTGACCCCCCCATCTGCCCACCTGCAGGGTATCTACGGGGCTCAGCAGTGCTGGGCACCCCCTTCACCTGTGACTTTGAAGACAGTGACTGTGGCTGGCAGGATGTGGGCACCTCGATGTACGGATGGGTGCGAGGCCGGGCCAGCCTGGCCACGTGGGGCATGGGGCCTCATTCAGACCACACCGTGGGCACGGACCTGGGTAAGTGGGAGCTGCTTGGTGAGCAGGCTCTGGGCACCCACAGTGCCACTCCACTAGAGTCAGGGTGCCGGAACACCCATCTTTGTAATGTGCAGGGGAGGGAGCAGATCCATGGAGGGTGGGAGTAGTGCTGGTGCAGTTCTGGTACCACCCCATGGGGCTGCAGCCCCTGCTCTGCTTGCTGCCCTCCCCAGGTTGGTTCTTGGTGACCATGTCTCCCCCAGCAAAGACCGCAGCCACAGCCTGGCTCAGGTCACCGGAGATGCGGGAAGCAGCTGCCACATGTGAGATCAGAACCTGGTATCACCTCTCCGGGAGCTGTGAGAGCACCCAAGGTGGGCACAGGCAGCATCGGCTACTGGGCAGTGAGGATGGGAGGCAGTGGGAAGGGATGGGGCCATCTGCCCCTGTGGCAGGGACAAAACCACTGACAGCTTGAGATGGGTCCTTGCCATCCTGTTTGCCTCTTCCATGCTCCACACACGGAGCTAGTGGGACCTGGGAGTCCCAGCTCCAGCCGCCAGAGCTGACGGGGTTCCATTTGTTCCTGTGGGTACCCCAGGATGCCCTGTATCAAGGGCACTTTTGGGTCTTCCCTCAGGGCTGAAGCAGACAGGGCGGCCGGTGCTGCGCCTGGCTGTAGCACACAAGGATGAGGTGGTGGAGCTGTGGCAGAGCCCTGAGCGCAGCAGTGAGGGCTGGCACCAGCTGGTCGCCTACCCCGGCCGCATCATGGATCAGTTCCAGGTGAGACAGTGTTGGTACCTTGGTACCTGGGCACTATCCCTAGAAGCTGGGACAAGAGGAGCTGGGCGATGTTCTGGGACCTGGCCCGGGCAGCTCATGCCATCCTCATCCTCCCATCACAGCTCATCTTCTCCCTGACGCAAC